ACCAAAAAAAAAAAAAAAAAAAAAACCACATAACAGTTAACACTTAAGTGTATGTAGATTATTTAACATATTTACATTTAGTCAGATTTGAAGGCAAACCTATAATGTTTCAAAAACACCTTCTTGACATTAAAAATAATTGGATGATGGCTGTAGCTCTACTCACTTAAATCTGTTAGTATAAATAGTTTACAGAGATGAAATCATTTCCCAGCCAGTAGCCACTTACTCCAGAATTGGTATGGGTTTCTGATGATTGCCAAGTACCATCAGCTAACATATGACCTTACAGATTAGTTCATTTCTATTAAAAAACTACCGTTCTCTAGACAGATAGTATCAATATTTAGAGGAATGGACAAAAACATCTGCTTATTATCAACATCCATGTAGCACTAAGATGCGCTTATTTTCCAAAACTGTATATTTCATTACATTTTTTTTTCTAATTTTTTGATGGAAAATATCAAGCATAAACAGGAGACAGATGTACTCATTCACTTGCTTCAGTAATACATACTTAAATCCAATTTCAATTCGTCTATATTTCCCCCCACTATTACTTTGAGGCAAATCCCAGATAACATATTATTTCACTTTCTCTTAACTATTTGGTATGGTTTGTCATTATTCTTTCTGATAGTTGTTGTTTTTCCTTAAGTAAGTGCTAGCGAGGGTGATTCTCCAGGAGGATTACCTTAAAGTGTTCTGTGCTTAGTCATTTCACTGTGGGTTTTAGTATTATCACAGTATCAGTGGATAGTACCATTTTCTGTTCTTATTTTCTCATTTCATTTTGGTCTGTAATTATGTATGGAATGAGTGGTATTTATTCTGCTGCAATCGTTAGGCTCACTAAAACATTCTTCCAGGTGTGACTGTATAATAATGAGATCTAACACATCCAAATTAGTGTTGGTCTTCAAAGTAGTCACTTTGACAGGTTATTTATTCCAATGAAGCAACCATTTCACAGAATGTTTTTGGAACTCCTCTTTTATAATTGCCTTCAGAAATACTTTGAACCACACAGAAAAGCAGATCTCATTACTTTGGTCAAAACCAGTGTCTAACAAAAATATTATAATTGAATTCAATCGCTTGTTCATATTCTTGGACTTGACTGGACCTGATACTGAATAACAAATTCATTTCTGAAAATGTCCCTTTAAGGAATTTTGACTTGAAACAGTAGCGCCATTCAAAAGCAGAAGGTGTAGATCTGTTTTCAAAAAACAGTGCTTTGCAGTCAGACTGCCTTTGTCTTCCCATGTGTGCATGTGTGTAGCATGTATATGTATATAAGGTATACATTTAGTTTGTATGTAGGATGTGTATATATTTCAGCTGACGGGATTGGATTTTGTTCTGACATGGATTTTGTTGTGGCTTTTTATTTTTAATTTAAATTTGATTTATTTTTTTAAGTTCATAATGCATTAACATGTTACAAGTTCAAAGGATGTAAAGAGGGAAAAGTTTCCCTCCCTTACCTGTCTTCTAACCTCCATTTCCCCTCCTGAAGGCAGCCAATGTAACCAATTTCAGGTGTATCCTTCCACATCTACTCTACTCATACACATGCATGTATTTTTTTCTCTCATATTTTTATAGAAAGTAAAGCATACTGTACATACTGTTTTGTACCAGCTTTTCATTTGATAGTGCATCTTTGAGATTTGTCCATAGTCCATGGAGAGCCTCCCATTTTTTGTATAGCGCTCTGTTATGTGGATGTACCACAGTGTTTTTAAGCAACAATCCTAATAAACTTTGGGTTAGTTCTAATCTTTTGCTATTAAAAATGCACTGCAAAGAATGAATTTGGTCGTACAGCACTTTGCACCAGGTAGTGTAAATTCTTAGAACTGGAATCTCTGGATCAAAGGATTACATGCATTTTAAATTTTGATAGAAATTGCCAATATCCCGTTTTAGAAATTGCACCAATTTTCACTCTCACCAATGATAGATGGTTTAACTGTTTTCCCATAATCATAGCAGCAGAGCTGTCAAACTTTATTTCTGCCAAATTCATAAATTTAAATCTCATTTCTCTCATTATGAGGTAAAATTGAATGTACATTTAAAGCCACTTGTATTTCCTTTGTGAACTGTGTGTTTATATCCTCTGCTCATTGTTCTACTGCATTGTTGATTGTTTTATTATTGGTTTCTACGAGTCCTTTTTATTTTAAGTGAAATAACCTTCATTATATGTGTTGGAAATATTTTTTTTTCCCAGTTTGTCATCTGACTTTTGACTTTGCTTGCAATAGTTTTTGCTATGCAGAAATGTTTTAGCTTTATACAGTCAGATTTTTTTGTTTTGTTTTCTGAATCATGTATAGTACCTAGGCCTTTTCTACTCCTAAGTTATTTTTTTAACTTAGTTAAAAATAATTATTTTTCACTTTAGTACTTAATAAAAGTCATTCACCCATTGGTTTAAGGTAAAAGGTATGGCTTGAACTTTTTTCCTTTTTTTCTGATGACTCTCTTGTTGACATGATTTCATAGTCCACACTGTCATGTATGAAATTAACTGATACTGGACTTACCTGGCGGTCCAGTGGTTAAGACTCCGCACTTCCAATGCAGTGGGCAAGGGTTCAATCTCTGGTCAGGCAACTAAGATCCCACATGCCCCTCAGCACAGCCAAGGGGGAAAAAAATAAAAAAGAAATTAACTAATACTGATTAGGCCATATTTATTCTAATTTATATTTATTCATAAAATTCTGAATCTTCTCAATTTTTATTGCTATAAAAAATAGATTCTTCATATTAGGATGATCAGGAAATAATTATTTACAATGTATCACAGCTTTTAAATCAGCCTACAAGAAGCTGCAAATTATATGACATTGTGGGTTAACTGCACAGTTTTCTCTTTACCTTAATGTTACAACCCCTGCCTTATTACTTTTTGCAAAACACCATAATTTCTTTGTCTCCTTTTGAGGCAAAGTGTCACTTGTAAACTTCTATGGAAAATTTTAACAAAATGTAGATGTTGGCTTGCACTTTTATTTGTGAGCAGTTTCCAGATTCATATATCTTTGTCAACTAACAGTTAAAACTATTTTATATTTAATGCAGTTGGTCCTTATTTTGCAATGACTCGAGCTTCCTAATTTTATCTGTTTACTTTTACTAAAAGTGAACATTTTGTGAGATTTTGGAGAGGGGTAGTGAGAGCTCCATGCCTGAGTTATCCAACCGAGGCTATGTGATTAGCAGATGAATTGCTGGTGGTTTTTATGATCCTGGAAAGGAAGCTGCTTCCTGGGAGAAGAGTTACTTAGCATTATCCTTGTCAGAAGGCTTCACTGATGAATAGAGGGCAGGATGTGTCCATGTATTAATAAATATTTCAATCGCATATCTAGTGTTATTTGTTATAAATACATTTGAAAGTTTTATCAATTGTGTTAACTGTGATTTATGAAATGAAAGAATTACTGGTGAGATAAATAGACATATCTTCAGATTTATAAAGGCTTTTAGCCTGGAATTCTTTAGGGGGAAAATAGATCTCCACATGAAAGATGTTACTGTGAATATTCCTTGACATTTCAGTAATTATTATCTAATAATAAGTGGGGAAGTATAACTAAGAACTATTAATAATACATTTTATAAATAATAGGGAAATTTTATAGAGACTTGAATAATTAACTATTTTTAAGAAATGATAATTACTTGGAGGAGAAATGTATGTTAATTTTTTTCTGTCCACCCACTGATAAGTTGTTTAAAAGTTCTTGGATTTTTTTCCTTTCATCTTTAAAACTAGAGGAGGAGGAGAAATAATAGTAGTAGCAATAATAATAAACCATAATGTGTTTATTCTGCCTCCCACTGATGTTTTTGAAAATTCTGATCTACTACATGCTAATAAAGCTGAATTATATTACAATTTTGAGAATTAATAGACCAGACTATTACATGTAAATAAAGACATATTTTACTATAAACACTCTAACTTCCTTCTTTGGTTTATGGGTAAAATACATATATTGACAGTATGGTTTATGTTCAATTATTTCACATTCTTTTTTTTTTTAATGATTTCTCCTTCCTTTCAAGCAGCTGGCTTTAAAATATGAAACTCTTGATATTTGGGACACTGACACTGATAATACTCTGTAACCTGTAAAAACTGTGATTAAAAGCTTTCTGGATTACAATTATTTAGTATTGAACGTGTTATTTTTTCCTCAGCGATTTCTGATATTTCCATCTGTGCACAAAAGCTTTAGATCTATATATTTTCACTGAACATTGAAAAGTATACCCTTGGGGTTTGACACTTCCACGTAAATGTTTCTTGTCCTTCCTTTGAATCTCAGCATTTTGATATTAAATCGCATGGCTATGAGACTAGTAATAGCTAGGTTATAGAGGCAATTCTGATTTGATTTGTTTCATATGGAGTTCATGTTTGCTGATCTGAAGACAACCACAACACAAAACCCCATGCACTTTTATGGTTTGTTCTCCTTATATACAGAGTAAATGTGATATGTACATAAATATATCAGGTATTTGTTAGTGATAGATAGATGTTGATGAAATATGTAAACAGTTTATTCATATTTTAGTTTCATATGATAATTATGTAGTATTAGTCACTTCAAATAATTTCTCATGGCTAAAGTAAAAGAATATTATTTTTTTATAATACCTCCATTAATTCTCAAAATATTTTAAACTTGGAAAAATTTTGGAAGTAGGACATTTCAATTCCAGGTATTTCAGCAGTTTTGTTGCTGTTACTTTTTTTAAATTAATTTTTTTAAATTTCATGTGACTACAACATATTTTACCCCAGGAAAATGAACTGTAAAAGACTCATTACACTGCAAAAGACTTTCACATTTTAGAATGTTTGAAAATATTTTATGATTCAGTCATAAAATCTGTGATGTCTTATTTAGAAGTGCAGGCTAAATTATATTTAATCTATTAAGAGTTTGCAGGCATAATGATTTATTTTAAAAGTAACTTACATGGACACCAAGCCGGGAAAGCGGCTGGTGGGGGTGAGGGTGGAATGAATTGGGAGATTGGGATTGACATGTATACACTGATGTGTATAAAATGGCTGACTAATAAGAACCTGCTGTATAAAAAAAAAAATAAAATTCAAAATTTTTTTTTAAAAATTAACTTACCAGATCAGTGGGCTTGTATAAATGAACCAAGTTTGCTCCAATTTTTTTCCCCTTTAGGCAGAGCTCACAGTTTGGAGATGAAAAAACATTTAGTGATTCATCATTGCTGGAAAACCTCCAAAATAATCATGTAAGCAACATAATACTATTATCTTTTCATTAATAAATGAAAACTAATGAGTGTTTCTCTGAATTATCTTCCATGTTTAAATATTCCTTTTTTTAGTTTCATGATCATTTCTAATAATTAGCAAAATCTATTATCTCTAAATTCTTTGTACTTGGCCAACATGAATTCATGGTTGTTAGAAATTTAGTTTGAACAATTGTCATTAATCAACATTCTGTTTTTTAAAAATATTATATATTAATTCTAGAACTTTATTTGTATGAAACAACTCATTGTTAACAATTTCAAAACATCTATAGAAATGAATTTCCTGCTCAGAATTACTGGCCAGTGCTAAATCTATACAATAAGAGCTTCAGACATGTGCCACCCAATGTGAACATTCCACTTATGAAAGTTACTGATACTTAACTAAAATTCCATCTGATCAAATGATATGGCCTCCTAAGTTTAAACCCCCAATTTTTTCTCACAGTCGCTTCAAGCTCAGTGTGTCAGAACTTGAACTTATGCTCATCACCCCAAAACCTAGTCCCTTCCTAGCACTGATGGACTTACCACCTCTGCCCCTGGGCAGGGCCCTAGCAATGTGTTCATGTGGTTATTTTTGCCTTCAACAAAGCATGAGCTTCCAGATGCACAAAATCTAGACCTAGGCCCGCCTCTTCCCTCTTGTGTTCTCAGGTTCAGTAAATTGCACCATCATCTGTCTTATTACTCATTCTAGGAACTTAGGGTTGCTTTTGATACCTCCTTCCCCTCCATCTCCAGATCTGTAATGAGTCACTAAGCCCTTGTCAATATGACTTTCTGTAATATATCCTAAATGTCTTCTTCACTTCATTCTCACTTTCTCTACCCCAGTCCAGACTACTGGTATCCTCCAGGTGAATTACAGCAGCCTCCTAACCATTCTCCTTGTTTCCGTTTTTACCCCCCTCCAGTTCTTGTTGTACGTGGCAGCTGGAATGATGCGAATGTAAATCAAGTCCCATCACTCTCCTGTTTAAAACCATGCCAGAGGGCTTCCCTCTCAACTCACAAAGTTACATGGTTCAGCCCCTGCCTAAGTCTTCGGTCTCACTTGGAGTTACCCTTCCTTTCTTTCTCCTCAGGCTACACTGGCTTTCTTTTATTTTCTCAAACACACTTCATTCTTTCTTCCTTTAGGACCTTTTCAGTCATGTGTGATTCCTGCTTGATGGAAAACTGTGCTCAGTTCTTCATGAGGCTAAAACTTCAGCAGCTTAAAGATCACATTGTCGTGAGAACAACCACAGACTGGCCTATATCATATTATATGATATTTGCACATTTATCCTTTGAAGCCCTTTTCACACTATAAATAAATAATACTTGTGTACTATTTATCTATGTTCTGTTTTCCCCACTAGTCAAAGCTTCGCATATCAGGGACCTTGTCTGTTTTGTCTGCTCTTCGAGGCTTAACACAGTTTTTTTTCAAATAATGTTCTGATTTACCTTTCCAGTCATTTCACTCTTTTGGTCCAAGAGCATAGAGGAATATTTTTCCTTTATTAATTCGAATGACATTTTTCTTCATCAGGAACCAGACAAGAAGATGTTTCATTTTAAAAATCTGACTGCTTTCTTGCAGAAAGGATCTTGTCTTCCTCAGGCCATGAGAGTCCATTGTACAAAGGACTTCTCGATCAGTCCTTTTTTATTTAGTAAAACGTGTATCAGGTTAAGGTTGCCATTTTTGCAAAAAGAGAGGACAAACCTTACAGAGGAATCCCCTGCCATCGTCACCTCAACCCAAAGTAGTGGAACCACAGTAAGAGTAGATGCCTAAAATATAGATCTGATCAGGAATTAGAACCAGGTAAATGAATTTCTCTCCTGTCCTTAATAACAAAATTCAACCATATCTGCCTTTTTCACTGTATGGTTTCTAGTTAACAAGACAAAGTGGTCTTATATAAATGTTTAGAAAAGGAATGAGAGGGTGCAAGAATGAACGATTTTAGTTAAAAATATTTTTTCTTCATAATAGTTGTTGGCTTCTTGACTTCCACACCTTCAATATCTAACAGCTGCACTCTTAGTAAATATGCATGGAGTAGTATTACTATCATTAGTGTCAAATGTTTAAACGAAAGTGGCTAAATTATGTGTTTATTTCTTACAGCCAACTGCACCTATAATATGTGAATTTCTTACAATGATGGCAGTCTGTCACACAGCAGTACCAGAGCGGGAAGGTGATAAGATTATTTACCAGGCAGCATCTCCAGGTACAAATGAAGCAATTGTGATGTATTTCTTGGTGGAAAATTGTTCTGAAATTTGAGATTGTTCAGAAAAATTTAATTTGAAGAAGTAAAATAAACAAGTTATGTTTTTCAGATTACAAATTTTATTTACTAATTAGATAACCCTTGGCTTTCAAAATTAAATATATATATTTTAAAATACATAACTTTGTGTAACATTTGTTATATGGCATAAATTACATGTAAATTTGAATAACAAAATTCACACAAGTAAAAAAAATGGTACTTTATATATACACATAGTAAATTCTCCCTTCTTTATAAATAACTAAGAATAAACTGTTAGTCATAAACTGTTTTTGCACATAAGCAGACAGAAAAAGGAAGATCTGTTTGCTTAAATAGTGTGCATTTTAGAATACTAATTTTGCTGTCTTCTCTTGGAAATGATAATCAAGGAGTTCATTGTGTATTTATTTGGATGAGAAAAGTTTTACACATTTGAAGGGATTCCATAAAATATGTATTAGCACAGTTATCATTATTTAATACTTAGGCTTATTTTCAATGAAAAATTGGGTAAATAGTCAAGTTGATGATTGTAAGATTTCAGGAAAGAATGAACACACTTTGGGGAACTGTTTTAATAAGTGTTTTAAACTGTATTATAAACCAGCACCTGCTACCTTGTAGAATGTACCAAATTCCTAAAAACCATAAGATACATCTCATATCATTAAGATAGAAACTATGTGAATGTTTTATCCCACACCCTTCCCTAAGAAACAAGAAGGTCTGATGTAACAGGGTGATGTAAGTAAATAATATATAATACAACAAAGCATCAGTTCATTTATATCCATTTAAATTGACCCCTCAACATTAATAGTATTAGTTTTTCTACATTAAACATTTTAGGAAGAAAAGGATAAAAGTTAAGAAGGCAATTTCGTGCCATTCATTTTTTCCAGTTTTATTAAGAAATAATTTACATGTATCACTGTATCTCTAGGACTTATTTATCTTATAACTGGAAATTTGTACCTTTCGATCACCTTTCTCCAGTTGCCCCTTCTGCCACCCTCCACCTCTGCTAACCACATCTGATCTCTTTTTCTTTGAGTTTGGGGTTTGTTTTCTTTTTTTTCCCTTTAGATCTCACATATAAGTGAGATCATTCAGTATTTTTCTCTGTCTGGCTTGCTTCACTTAGCATGATGCCTTCATGTCTATCCATGTTGTTGGCAAATGTAGGATTTCCTCATTTTTTTATGCATCATTCATTTTGAGAAAAGTTTTCCAGAGAATATGCTGGACCAAGGGGTATATTTAATTATCCTTCTTAGGTATGTTTGGCTAACAATGAGACTTAATCTTCAGAAATATGACTCTGGGGTCTATACGTGTCTCAGATTCTTAAGATCATTCTACTCATTCCTTTGGCATTGTCATATAATTTTAAAAGAAGTGGATTTCAGTAAAAGGAGCCAGAATAAAAAGAATTTTAATTCTTTTTAAAATTAGGCAGAAAATTGGATTGCAATAATGTCTTTCTCTCGTATTTGGGGTAATTTTTTTTTTCACTGTATATTTGCTTTGTCCTGTTTTCCTAAAACAGATGAAGGAGCCTTGGTCAGAGCAGCCAAGCAACTGAATTTTGTTTTCACTGGAAGAACACCTGACTCAGTGATTATAGATTCAGTAAGTTATTTATTTTTAAGTCTGTTTTTTATCAAAGTAATACATATGCTTAGCTTCAAAGATAAAATAATACCAGAAAAGCTCAAAGTAGAATAGAGGTTCCCAATTCTAGTTCTCCTCTCCAGAAGCAAAAGCTTTCTATTCTTTTAGCTGTTTCTTCAGACATTTACACATCTTATATATTTTTTTTTAATGTTTGATGAATGATATATGTGTTGATTCTTCAATTTTAGACATATCTACTGACTTTCTATTCAGTTATATTAAATGAGGAGTTATTTCTCTTGACTCACCATCCCTTCCCAATAGTATTATAATTATATTACAATATTTGGTTGAACAAGTATTTGGACCCAGATTTTTAAATGGGCAAAAGACTTGAACAAACATTTCACGAAAGAAGATATACAGATGGCCAGTGAGCACGTGAGAACACATCATCAGTCATCAGGGAAATGCAAATTAAAGTCTCAATGAGATACTACCGCATACCCACCAAAAAAGGTAAAATTAAAAACATTGGCAGCACCGAATGTGAACGAAAACACAGAACAAGTAGATCACCTGTTTTTGCTAGTAGATGTGTAAGATGGTACAATCCCTTTGGAAATCCTTTTAGAGTTTTCCAACACAGGTAAACATGTACCCAGCCCAGCAGTTGCACTCATACTTAACCAGGAGAAATGAAAGCATATGTCCACAGAAAGATGTGCCATGGAATGTTCATAGCAGCTGTATTCAGAGTAGGCAAAAACTAGAAACAAATCAAATATCCATTACTAGGCGAATGGATGAACAAATTGTAATATACAATGGAATAGCTAAACAATAGAAAAGAGTAAAATATCGATTCATCAAGAGCCTTAATAAATCTCAGAAACATTATACTGGGAAAAAAAAAATCAGACACAGAGGAATGCATATTCTTTTTTTTTTTTTTTTTTTAAATTTTTGGCTGCATTGGGTCTTGGTTGCTGCGTGCAGGCTTTCTCTAGTTGCGGTGAGCGGGGGCTACTGTTCGTTGTGGTGCGCGGGCTTCCCATTGCGGTGACTTCTCTTGTGGAGCACGGGCTCTAGGCACCTTGGCTTCAGTAGTTGTGGCCGGTGGGCTTCAGTAGTTGTGGCACATGGGCTCAGCAGTTGTGGCTCGTGGGCTCTAGAGCGCAGGCTCAGTAGTTGTGGTGCATGGACTTAGTTGCTCCGTGGCATGTGGGATCTTCCTGAACCAAGGCTCAAACCCCCGTGTCCCCTGCATTGGCAGGCGGATTCTTAACCACTGCACCACCAGGGAAGTCCCTATTTTCTTTGTTTTAATAATGTCTTTCCAGATACAAAATTATCTCCTGAAAATGAATTTTTTTCTTTATTTTCTAAACATGAATCTCTTGTCTTTTTTCCAATTGCTTGATTTTCTACCTACTACTAATTGTTCCATACCTTCTTAGTGCACTTTTTTTTTTTTTTTTTTTTTTTGCGATATGTGGGCCTCTCACTGTCGTGGCCTTTCCCGTTGCCGGATGCGCAAGCTCAGCGCCCATGGCTCACGGGCCCAGCCGCTCCGCGGCATGTGGGATCCTCCCGGACCGGGGCACGAACCCGTATCCCCTGCATCGGCAGGCGGACTCTCAACCACTGCGCCACCAGGGAGGCCCCTTCTTAGTGCACTTTTATTGGTACAATTACCAGATAATCTGCCAGTGGGTAGGTGTTTCCCTGAGACATCCCTCCAGAAGTCCTCCATTCTCCTTGGTCTGGGCCAGTTTTGCCTGCTTCTCTGGCACTTGGAATTCCTTTTGATTGTCTCCTGCTTTGGACTTTCTATTTCCTGTAAGTCGAAACTTCTTTCTTAGTAAGCTCGCTGTTGTTGATAGAACACATTTTCTGTCAATTTCATCCTATTGAAAAGGTGTTATTAGAGAAGCGGAAGTCACAGTAGTGACAGCCTTCAGTAAACTTAGCTCCTGACTCAGAGCTCCAATCTGCCCTGGTGGACAGTTCAGTCTTACTCGTGGTTGTCAGGAGGAATCGCTTTCCTGTCTCCCTGGGGACTTTCTTTACCTCTCTTCTGTGTTAGATTTTCTGTTTCTTGGATCCCATATTTTCTTTGTTCTTCGCTTACTCTTGTTATCGTGGAACACATTCTTTATTGGCTTCTTGAGAAAAGGTGCATGGAAAGTTCTTTGTTTTTTGGGGTTTTTTTGTTTAGTCCTTTCAAGTCTAAACATTTTTTATCCTATCTTTCTACTTAATTGGTAGTCTGGCTGAATGTAGGGTGGAAATCAGTTTCCTGAAGAATTTTGACTGTTCCTCTGTCTCCTGGCTTCCAGTACACCTAATTGAGAAGTCAGAAGCCACTGTGACTCCAGTCTTTGTGACTTGCCCACCCCTCTTTCTCTGGAAGGTTGTGGAATGTTCTTTGTTCCAAGAGTACTGAAATTTCATGGCAGTGTCCTTAGTGGGAATATTTTAACCCATTGTACTGGGCACTGAGTGGACACTTTTCCATTTGGAAATCAATATCCTTCCATTCTGGAAAATTTTCTTGAATGAGTCTATTCATTTTCCTTCCCTGTTTTTCCTCTGCTCTCTCTTTTTAGAATTCTTGAGCGCATCTTTTAACTTTTCTGTCCTGCTCTTTGCCTTTTTGTCCTACTTTTTGGAAGTTTTCCTCCGTCTTATCTTCTCAGACTTCTGTTGATTTTCTTTTCATTTCTGCTATCATGTTTTTAGTTTATAGAAGCTTTTATTGTTTTTTCAATATTTCTTTTTTTTAATAGTATCCTGTTCTTGTTTCACAGGTGTTGTACTTAGGTTTCTTCTCTGGGAGGAATAATGATAGTTTTTTGACGTTTTCATTTTTAAACAATTACAAGCATTTAACAGTTTAAATAAGCATATGGTGTTTACTGGAATATAAAGTGGTCTTAAGCTCTCATTACAGTTGTTTTGATTATTGCAATGGGAAAATGATACTTCACCAAAAATTAAATATCAGCTTTCAATGTTCTTTTCCAGAGTTTCCCATTCTGCACTTAGGAGAAAAGAACAGCATTTAATTACTGCACCACTTGCATATGGGATGTATAATAGACTATGCCACATCTTTGACAAGAGCTTCAAAATGCAGAATCATAAGGCCAGTCTCCTCCTATGCCACCAAAGAGCAGTATACAGGACCTAAATAATAATCACAAAAACATAACAATTGTACAAGCCATCTTTTTGTTTCGAACATTTTCTTCATTTGCTTCATGAATGCCATTAAAAAGCATATACTGGAGAGTACAGCAATATTTCCAAAGGTATAAAACACTGCAAAAAGTTTTATGCCACCAGGAAGCCACAGTAATCCAGTTCCAGTGAGACAACAGAAAATGCCCATAGAAAGCACAGGACAAACCATTCTGGTGTTGAAATGGAGGGAAGAGGCATCCAGGACCTGTCCACCAGCCCCTCATGTCCATCAAGAAACCCAGAGCCTGACACTCCACAGGCCGACATGGATGTTTTCTTTTTGAATTCTCTTTCCTCCAAATTGCTCTTATCTGTTTGTTTTGGGTATCTATGATCCATGTTAATAGCTGTCCTTGAATATCTATTAATCTTTGGTTTTCTCATGGTTAAGAGTGAAGAACCTGAAAGCTGGTATGGCAGTTCTGAGCATGAGGGTATTTGTCAACAATGGGCTTCACTGTGGGGTGGTCTGGTGGGATTCCTTTGGGAAGTCGTGGTTGTCTGTACCTTTAGGGCTTCTCTTGGTCTTGTGAATTCCCCAGAGATTCAATTTCTGATTTCCACCTGGAAAGGTCTGACTGCCAGAAGGTAGGGGGCCAAGTGGGTTGAGGGCATTGGGGCCTACAAATGTGATAACAGTGCTGTATCTTCAAGTGTGCCAGTCGACTTCTAGATGAAAGAGCCTCTGTTTTACCCTCTATAGAGCAAAGCGTCGGTCTTCTGCCAGTATGCAGGAAGAGCCAGTGCCCAGAGCTGCTTTTCTAGTAGCTCTTTCCGAGTCCTCCCATTTTAGGCCCCTCTCTTTCCTCCCAGTTCTAGAACTACCTGCTATTCCACTTCCTTAAGCCTCTTAGGGATTATGTGGTACAAATCGGGTTGGTTCTCAGCTTTTCCCTTGGCTGCTGCAGGCTTTGAAACTTCTTGTATCTGCTAAGGACGCGTTTCTCACTGATCTGTTTTCTGGTTTCCACATTTTTTGTTCAGTTTTCTCTTCTCTTATTTTCCTGCCATTGCAAGTTTCTTTCTTAAGTGTCTTTTTTTTTTTCTGTAGTTTTGATGGGACTTTGGGAAGGATGAAAATTAAATGTGTATGTTCAATCTTTCATCTTAACTTAAAAAGTTAGTAAGTTCATTTAAAGATGATGTATTTCAGAAGGGACAATTTGTTTGTGTTGACATTTTTTACATTAAAATTTCATGACTAGGGTTTATTTCCAAGAAGCCAAAGATGCCAACTCTATGTAATCAAGTTTTCCTTTTCTTCACAGCTGGGGCAGGAAGAAAGATACGAATTGCTCAATGTCTTGGAGTTCACCAGGTAAAACATCTGCTCTGTGGTTTGTATGTATGACATAAATTTCCTTCCATTTTTATTTAATTAAATTTATTTATACCAAATATTAAATTAAAATCTTCAATGCAATTTTTAATTGTCATATCTGTAAGTAAATCCTAAACAGCACTCTTCAGAGTCTTGTAACTCCTAGAGGCAATATAGAGGCAATAAAAGTATTTTTGAACATAACTGTCTGCATCACAGCTGTAGGGGGTATAGGACCAAGACAGTGATCTGGAAACATCGTTATACTTAGAGGTGCCAAGATTTATGTAGCATGAAAATGAATCAGAGTCAGGAACTCACCATTCTAATTAAGTGTTCATTATAACATCTAATTGTCTTGGGGATTTCAGAAACCAAACCCATCTCTCTGTTGGGTATAAAACCAGTTCCCATGTAGTAGGCAAGGGCAGAAAGCAAAAGGATTATTTTACTTACTTTATTTCCTAAGGTCAAATAAGAGAGGCCTTCCATTATGATCAGTGATATCTCTATGAGTTTTGGGCTCTTTATTCCCACATGACTCTGTAGTTTCCCAACTAACCTACATTCTTGGGGCAAAATGCCCTCAGCTGCAGACAAGAGGGTCTTTAAAGATTGTGTCATCATTCAGGGGACACTTAAAAATATCTTCAAGGCCATAACCAGGACGTAATGCTGCTGTTCAAGGAAATAAGTGTCCACTTTTTTTCTTGAACTTTTTCCTACATAAGGCAAGTCTGTACACTAACTAAAAGAGGCATTTTCTTTTCTGTGCCAACATTTGTTGCTGTCTTGGTTAGGAGTGACCACATGCCAGTGGTTAATATCAAAAGTAATGGGATCTAATTTATTATTTAAACATTGTGGTTTTCTTCACTTGTATGCACTGAAAGGCCCAAAGGAATATGCATAAGAAGTTGGATAATTAACTGTCATAGAATATTCTCAAAGTGTATCCCCCATCATTTTTTTTTCCACATCAAAGTGACTGTTTTTCCTAAGCCTACTTGTATTATGTCTGTAATATATTATAAGTAGTGTATCAATTAGCATTTGGATATGTTTGTTTATGAACACACACTTAGAAACACTATGTAAGTGGTAAGTGTGTGAAGAAAAATAAAGCAAAGTTAGCAGCTCTTTCAGGATGCTGTGATGGGGGAGGCTTAAGGACAAAAGTAAGAGAAGTGAATGTGTGGGTATTAAAATAATCTCTGAAAGACATGAGTGGTTTAGACTAGGATGATGGTAGAGAAAATAAAGTGAAGTTGATAGAATGCAGATACCTTTGCAGGGATGTCAGGGGGCCATTGGTATGAATTGGATGCGGCAGGAGAAAAGAGGGGGAGAGGCTAGGATTCCTGGCATGAGTGACTGGGTAGATGGAGGTACTTTTTACACAAATGGTGGATACAGGATAGAGATGAGGATGAGATCTCAGAGGATGAGATGTTTGAATCGTTAAGTTTTAGATGCCAGTGAGATATATATACATAGAGATGTCAGGTAGGCAACTGGTTATAGAGGCCTGACACATAGAAGCCTCTGGCTGAAATATAAATTTGTTAGTCATTGGCCTGTAAATGGTGTTTAAAAGCCATGAACGTGAGTTGGATCTCCTGGATATAAAATAATAATAGAGTAAGGGAAACAAAGAAGGCTGAAGATTGAGCTACGAGTAACTCTAAGGGTTGATTAGCAAAGAGGAATTAGCAAAAGAGACTGCTCTGTGATTAGAGAAAGAGAGTGTAAGAGCATAAAGCCAAGGGAAGAGGATAATTTCCAGGAGGGAGTGGTCATCTGTGTCAGAGACTGCTGCAAGGTTAGGTAAGACAAAGCTGAAGGTAGTTGTTGGACTTAGAGATTCAACAGCTGGTGAAAAGAGAAGCAAGATGGGAGTGACTGGGGAATGAGTGGGAACTGTGGATGGCAATTGTTTTGAGAAGTTGAGCTGTGAAGGGGAGTAGAGCGTTGAAAAGGGATGCGTGTGGCTCAGCGGGGAGGGTTGTTTGGGGTGAGTTTCTCAGGAGAGAGACTAGAACTGTTTCAGGACTGATGAGAACGATCCATTCCAGGAGGAGGAGATGCAAGTTCAGGGGGGAGCAGCACAGCTTTAGGAGTGAGATGACCAGGAACGCAGGGTGAGAGAAGATTCACAGCGCATGTGAAAGGAAGGTCTCTGATAGGAAAGGAGGTGTTCCTTCCATGGTATCAAGAAACAAGACAGAGGATGGTCCACAGTGGATAAATGTGCAGGTTTTAATGGCAGAAAGAATAGGGATTTCTTGTTGGAGGCTTCCGTCAAGGTGACTGCAAAAATTCTGAGGGTCTGGAATGACAAGGGCACATGGGAGACTTGAGGAATGGAGAGCTGCTTATAGTCCTGTGGGGAGACAGAGAGCAAGCTTATTAGAGAAATGTAGATGACGAGGCAGCATGGAGCACCCAGTGACATTGGGACCATGTGTTTACTAATCTCTGGCTGGGTGACTTTTCTCCAGCAATGTCCACTTACCCTGATGGACCACAGAAAGGGTTCCTATTCACCCAAGATTTGGGAGTTTTGCCAGGAGAAGAAAAGAGCAAGAAAGTTGATGAGTTTGGGACCATGCCATCAAAGCTGCATTAAGAGAGACATGAATCATGAAGGGCTGAGATAGAACACCTGGATGTGATTACAAAAAGGGGCCCAATTAAATGTAGTCCTAAAGCACAGTAATGAAGATCAGAGATATTTAATACAGTGGGGATTAGAGATGGAGAAAGAGAGAACTAAATACTCCTAGACACTTCTGAAGGAAACTCCAGCTGTATGCTATGACACCAAATCTAACTGCTATGTTGGGCTCATCTCAGTTTTTTAGCCACAGAACGTTATAAGGTAACACAAATAGACTCAGACACTTGAGAAGTCTTTTTTACCCCCTGGTTTCTGGAGAGAATATGCTTATACACACTTAGTTCCAAGTGAGGCTTATCCTGTGCAATACCATACCTGTTTACTCTGTTCACTGTTACTTGCAATCTCTTTGCTAATGCATTAAAAGATGTTGTATGTTTGACTAACAATTTTTATCTGTGTATACTGTCAACATAATGTTAAATTGTTTGTGCTCATTAACTAGAGTTTGCAAGATAAATTAGGTTTTTTACATGATGCCAGTGGTTTGCTAGTAATCATTGAAAAAATGATAGTCATGAAGGCTTAAGTGGGTTTTTAAAGTTCTAGTGTTTGCCTTTATGTGTGATTGGATGTGTACTTAAAATTGACTTTCTTTTTGAATAAAAAAAAAACAATCCCACAAGGACTCAGAGGCAAAAAATACACAAATCAATTTTCATTGCAAAGTAAAGGAGCTGTTACAGTGGAGGATTCCTGGACTGAATGTCAATATTATGACATAGTGTGAGAGTGCTTCGTGTTTGGTAATTGCAATCATTGTTGCTTTTGTTGTGGTCATCCACTTACAATGCTTGGTGTCAGTTTATTTATCTCTTGTAAAAATAAAATACAGTGTGTGTGTGTGAAAAAAAAAGTTATAAAAAGTTCATATAGACAAAAAAAGTTTGAATATCAAAAAGAAATTGATTATCATTTCTCTTTTTAATAATTCATCGAAAAAGATACTGGCTTAAATATTTTTTAAATCTGAAAACATTGAACTAGAACTCTCCTTTATCCTGGTGGATACTAACTCTTGCAGGTTTCTAGGGAGCTATTTTGTAAATTATTCCTCTGGGGAAGCAGATGGTACCCTGGTGCCTTAAAAAACATAATGTAACTTTCAAAGGACTCAACTATACACCCAGGGGATGGTTTGTGTATGTGGAAGGATCGGCCTCATAATTTGGTCAAATTTATTTTTTCACTGGGAGTATTAAAATATGTGAGACGTGACAAACAAATAGGTGTATCTTCTCACTACGCTGACACATTGTGGAAAACCTCTTTCTTTCAGTGCTAGAAAAAGAATGTCAGTGATTGTTCGCACTCCATCCGGGAAGTTACGACTTTACTGCAAAGGAGCCGTAAGTTTTTATTTTTGTCTTTTACAGTTTTGATTTACGATGGTTTATAATGGATACGTTAAGCATTCTGCTACGGAAATGTAACACAGATGTTTAGCCTGAAGCTGCTGACGTCCACTTTGGGTAGTGTTTTATAGTAATAGGGTTCAGCCTCTTCTGGTGAAATATGGAATTCCTTCTGGGTAAATTTGGTGCTTTGAAAAAGTTTGGCCTAGGTTATTTATATAATTCAATGTTTGGTACATAATAGTTGAGGTTTGTTGTTTAGAAATATGTTAGAAGCCAGTTAAATACGGAAAATATTTTTAAATTGAACTAGACATGTAGTGACCTATACCAGTTTGAATTTAATTTTTTAAAGGCTGTAGAAATGGGGGGAAAATGGATCACAATTACTGCTATAATTTCGGCATGTGGAGATTACTATTTGTATTGTATTTGCATTGGTTTAATTATAACAGAATTTCTAACTATTGGTTGGCTATGGTATATTGGCAGGTTATATTGACAAAATAGTCATTCTAACTGAATTTTTCTAGTTGAAATATGTCTACACTCATGGAAATATAAGAAATCTACTGCCCAGGGCCTTTTCTTTCTAATTCTTAAAATTAGTTAATATTTCCCTTCTGAATTATCCTTTCCAGGTACCTAGTATAGTTGGAGTAGTCAGGTAACTTACCAGCTTGCAACTTTCCAATTTCAACTATAATCACCAGTCTTGCTTTATTACATGGAACTTGGAAACGGAACTGACCAGGAAACCCAAGCTTATTATTAGAATTCCTGTTGAGAATGTTTTTCAGTGCCTTGGTTTTAAAGCATTGAAATGTAATTTTTGAATGCCTTGGTTTTAAAGAATTTTGGTAGAATTATTTCATGATGTCTCGTGAATGTAGTTTTAGAATTCCTTTGGTTGTTGATTTAAACATCTAACATTTGTTTGCTGTGTGCATTTTATCTACTAGACTTTCAACTGGATTTGGGGGTTAGGAAGATAAGACTCAAAACTTGTCAGGAGCTTAAGACTACTCGGGGAAATATATATAAAGAGAAGATTAGGATACAATATTAAAATATATTGTAAAGATCTTCCACCTCCCCGTGGTAACATTAAGTGATAAAGTAATAAAGAGAGCCCTTAAGACCTCCCACTTTAAACGGTTTGTATGTGTCCAGTTTAACTACACCCAGTCCACATCCTCTTTTCTTAGTTTTGAGTAATCCAGCTAGAAACTTTGCTTGGGGCATTAAAGCACTGAATAAAAAATAAAGGGCTTCCCTGGTGGCGCAGTGCTTGAGAGTCCGCCTGCCGATGCAGGAGACGCGGGTTCGTGCCCCGTTTCGGGAAGATCCCACATGCCGCGGAGCGGCTGGGCCCGTGAGCCATGGCCACTGGGCCTGCGCGTCCGGAGCCTGTGCTCCGCAAATGGGAGAGGCCACAACAGTGAGAGGCCCGCATAACGCAAGGAAAAAATAAATAAATAAATAAAAATAAAAAAAATAAAAACATTGGACTTCTTTTTTGAATAATCATGGAGCTAGTTTGCATACATTAATTCGCTTATTGCCACTCCCAAATTAGCTATGATATGTGGTTGAATACTAAAAAGGCATAAACATGTAAAACAGCAAGCTGCATTTGAGAACTACGTGCAGTTTGGCAGGGAATAGCAGAATGTGAGGTTAGAAAGGTGAGCGTGGGTTAAGTCATGGGTTTTTCATGCTCGAGAACTTGTTCTTTCTTTCTGGGTCATTCTGATATCATTTAGAAGGTGATTTAAAGCAGAAAAGAGATGTATAGAGAGTTAGCAGTTGAAGCTGTTGACTACAGTCCAAGAAAAAGTTGATAAGGATCAAAACCTTATAACAGACAATTGCAGAGAGGATTAAGAGGACAGAGATTTAGGACTTAGTAATTGATTACATGTGGGTGATGAGGGAAAAGATGATCTAGGATTGTCAGATTTCTGTTTAGCTAACTAAATAGACTAAGTGATACCACTTACTAAGATAAAGAGTTGGGAGCTACATCTGGGCCATAAGAGCAAAGATACCTGCATTTCACAGGGGAAGATATATGGGGTGCTGATATAGGAGTTAAAAGTGTAGCTGGAAACTAAAAGCAGGGGATTGATGAGATCTCATATGGAGAAAATAATGCATGAAAAGAGAGGAGGGCTAAATGTGAAAAGCAGAGGATCCAGGAAGGACACTGAAGTTTGGAGGAAAGCCTGAGGAGTCCGTTGATTCCTTGGCAGAGTGAATAATCAACAGTGACAAGTGCAACAGAATACCTTAGTAATGAAAGGCAATTAAGAAGTCTTCAAGGGCTTTCCTGGCGGCGCAGTGGTTGAGAATCAGCCTGCCAATGCAGGGGACACTGGTTCGAGCCCTGGTCTGGGAAGATCCCACATGCCGCAGAGCAACTAGGCCCACGAGCCACAACTACTGAGCCTGCGCGTCTGGAGCTTGTGCTCCACAACAAGAGAGGCCGCGACAGTGAGAGGCCCGCGCACCACAATGAAGAGTGGCCCCTGCTCGCCGCAACTAGAGAAAGCCCTCGCACAGAAATGAAGACTCAGCACAGCCAAAAATAAATATAAATAAATAAAAATTTAAAAAAAAGAAGTCAAGAATATTTTCCAGTCAACGTGGTATTATCTGTTCATAGTTTGATGTATCTCCTTTATTTCAAAATCATAGCAGTGATGGATATAGTATAAAGAGAAAACAGAGGTAGGCCAAAATAGATATAGAAAATCAAGGTGGTACACTGAACTGAAGTCTTGAGCTGAGATGGGTAGGAGTCCCAGACCCTGGGCTGGGAATCAGGGAGCAATGTCTGGAGTTTGGTTTCTGTGGGACAATGGGCACAAATAGTACTTTCTGTAAAATGCAGATAGGAGCCAGCCTCCCCTCTTTAAAACCTAAGATAGTGGTAAACTTCCTAACCAGGAGAAGAGCTGAGGAAAGCTCATGCAAGCCCCTACTGGAGAGTACAGAAAACCACTAGATTGAAATGCATGTGAAGAAGGAAGGGGCAAGAGCAAAACTTGGAGACACATGAGGAAGTCTCATGTCAAAGAGAGAACGAACATGTAAACAACTGGAGCGTGAACTCACCCTAGATGAAATCATTTGTGTAAACTGTTCTGACAGAGGATGTTTAGAGCTCAACATGATAAAGAAATTACAGTTATTTTTAATCAAAAAGAAATTTTCAGGAGAGGGGAGAATAGGTTACATGTAAGATAAATTAGAAATCATAAATTTAAGAAAAATAAATCAACAAATGAAATAAGCTCTAGATAGAGTTGGAGGGGTGAGGATGGAGTTAGTGAATTGGAAGATAGTATTTGAAGAGTTCATTTAAAATATCACACAAAGAAATGGGGTGTGTGTGTGTGTATGGATGGATGACTTATTTTTCTTGCTTTTTTCCAGATTTTCAGTAATTGGGTTGTCTTGCTTTGTTAATTTTTAAGTGAAAAAGAAGGAAAAGTACACAATACACAAATTGTGTCTGCAGTAGTAGCCAATTTAGGGAAAGTTACATTTACCCAAATAAAAATTTAATTTATTCAAGAAAATAATCCTACTCCAATATTTATATTCGAGAGAGAAATTAGAAACTTGAGTAATACACTTAATGCTTTAGGGACCTTAAAGTGACTGAAAATTTTCAAATTAAGTGCCCCCTAAATAAAATTCTGTGCCATATGCAAAAAAAACCACATCTGAAATTAGTTATTTCTAGCCGTTCACCACCACGGCAGAGGCAAAGTGCAGATAATTCTGAATGGCACACATAAACACAGTAAATGTTTGTCTGTATTTAAATATAGATCTGTATAATGTCTTTAGCAAATATTCCAGCCCCAGCTTCATGCAGCAGATCAGTCTCAACTTGGTGTTTAACTGGACAACAAGGGCAGATTCCTTGATGATTAGTAATTGGCTAATTTATAGCAAGATTATCTGCATGACATCAGTATAAATTACAGTGCTTAGCTAAGTAATTATATAAGACCTTTTTTTTTCCTACTTGATACTTTATTATTATTGATTCTTGAATTTCATTGTGTAGCTCTTCTTTATTTGGCTTTACTGTATAATGTGGTATTCCATATAAGTGAAATTTGGGGATAACTGAGAATTACATGAGTGCTTTATTCATTTCACACATATTTTCTGAATACTTGCCATGTGCAAGGCACTGTAGGTGAGGGACAGAGCAGCACTGGAACTTCAGACTAAAAGATGAACAGGAAAACAATACTTTGTATGAAAATTTACCGAAGACAAATTCTTAGCCATGAAGCCTAGACTCTTCACATAAGTGACTGTAATCTGACAGTGCATGCCACTCCAGCAGCATCACCCCACCATGAATTTCCACTTTTACCTTGCCAAGGGCTAAGACACCAGATACATAAATCCATTTAGGGTTTTATGTAAAGGTAGACTCAGTAGGTTCAAGGTCTGATCCTAGGAGATGCACATGCTTTAGTCCTTGAGAAGAAACCTTTTCTGGTTCCTAACAATGTATCAAATACTTGATGTGGCCCCCTGAATAAATGAAAGTTACTTTGGGTGAAAACGTATCTGTATGTATTTATTTTTCACACATAAGCATGGCCAGTTGTGATTGTCATTTAAAACATACTATGCAATTCATGCAGAAGGCCATATTCTGTCCCCTGCTTTCCTTGATACTATAAAGAGGGTAGAAAATTCTCCTAGTCTGATCAGTCATCAGTTTCTTCCACTAGAATGCTTAACTACATTGCAGAATTTAATCTCCCTAGCTTTATTACGTATCACTTTTGTTTTCATGACTTCAATTTTTTTTAAGATTTTCTTAATTTTAAAATGGCCTATTTTAATTTCATGGAAAATTTCATTAGCCTCTCAAAAACAGTTTGTAAGTTATACCTTTCGTTCTCAGAAAGGAGCCATGAGGGGAAATTATCATTTCCTTTTGCTTTGCCCCTCTTCCCATTCCACCACTGAAAAATGAAGAGAGAAATTCATAATTGGAGCCTGGAATATTCCATCTGTTCTGAGGTCACTAAGTTCTGTTTCTCTCAAGGGTTCTAAATCATACTCCATTAGTCTGCTTCCAAATCTCAGCCCTGAGACTGGAGACCCCAAAATGAGTAATGCCACTGAGAAAGTAATTGCAGGTAAATGATTTATTTTTTCCTGGTCTAATAAAACCATGAAGGCCAAATACTAAAATTCCTAAAACATTAAACCCAAGCTGAAGAACAACTAAAGGAACAATAGGCAATTTGTAAAGGGACAGAAATTAGAGAAGCATACTTAGGCTTAAAGTTAAAGCTGAAAGGGACTTTAAAGATAATCCAGTAATTTAATTTTACAGACTAAATAAATTGAGCCGTAAAGCTAAAGTAACACAATCAGAAATATTCATCTGTAAGGCAATGCTAGGTTTGTCCAAGATCCTCCCTGCTCTATCCACCAGCCCACTCCATGAATTTAGACCTGTGTTTCTCAGAGTTTGTTCTTTTGTAAGCACCAATCCCATGAAGATGCCCTAACCTCTAAAAGGTTCAGTAGTAATTTGGGGGCAGATACCATACCGCCCCCTTGGAACCAACACGCGCATTAGCGTTTTGAAGGCTCTAAGAAGTATTGCAGCAGGGCAAGCTCTTTAGCTTTGTTTAGTCCAGCACTTCCCAAACTCTTTGAGTCCTGGACCGTTCTTCCTTACAGCACCTATGAACACTGCATTGTTCTGCAAAATCTTCAGGGGTTGGGGGAGATATTGCAGCACATCACAGGTAGGCGAAGTATTGATAGAATATGAGGCTTTGAACATTGCAGTAACTATGGATTTATTCAGAAAGGAGAAAGATGAAAATATAGGACCAGAACCTTATTTCTTAGAGTCATAAGGGAAACAGTGTTATTAGGGGAAAATATTTTGTGCTTCAACACTAATGCTAAAAGTGGTTTTTTTAATACTCATTTGCTGCTAATAATGTTGCCAACATCAACTTCATTAAACTCAGAATTCTTAGTTTAAGTGTGTTATACCTTCTGTTCGTTTTCCAGGACACTGTAATTTATGACCGACTAGCAGAGACTTCAAAATACAAAGAAATTACCCTAAAACATTTAGAGCAGTTTGCTACAGAAGGTGAGTGTAATATGGCAATAAAGCATGATTAAAATAAAATGAAATCATATACTACTAATATCTTACAGTATCATTCTTGTTATTTTACTTAGCGATTCCTAAAGTAAGATAAAAATAAATGTTGATAATTTAGATTATACTCTATGCTGTTCCCACCCATTATTTTTATTTCGCTCTCCTGTATTTATTAAAATTTTGAGAGACTTTGTCCCCACGTTTTAGGGGATGTAGGGCCTATAAATAAATCTGTTTGCTTTTTAGAATAGATACTGTTTACAGGGGTTTTTTTTTTCCAGCATTTCAGACTTTCTTCAAACACACAAATGGTAACAAAGGGCACCCACAAGTGACAGGCATGGTCCCTAAGGCCTGGCTCAAAGCCCATGCTGGAGGGTGTGAGGGACTTCTCAGCCCTACTCCCTCAGCAGCTCTGTCCCTTCCTACTCTACGCCTCACGGGCACCTCTGAGATCAGTTAAAAGTGCGCAGAGGGCTTCCCTGGTGGCGCAGTGGTTGAGAGTCCACCTGCCGATGCAGGGGACACGGGTTCGTGCCCCGGTCCAGGAAGATCCCACATGCCGCGGAGCGGCTGGGCCCGTGAGCCATGGCCGCTGGGCCTGCGCGTCCGGAGCCTGTGCTCCACAACGGGAGAGGCCGCAGCAGTGAGAGGCCTGC